CTGAAGTTGAAAATAATGCTCATTAAAAGTTTGTATTCTTTCCTGCAGTGCTTCGGTTTGCTGGGGGTGAATGGAGCAGGAAAAACCAGCACCTTTAAAATGCTGACAGGAGACTCTGTAGTGACCGGTGGAGAGGCATACCTGGCTGGCAAAAGGTAAGAACACATCATGCCACAGAATAACCAACACATCCAACCATCTGTTACAGACCATGACAGGAAGCATAAAATATTGTCCTATGCAACCTCTTTAATATGCAAGAAATGGTTGTTGAATCAAGGCAGAACAGAACAACTCCATCCAATCCCTGTTGAATAAGATTATATACTTCAACATACTTTTGATTTCTATAAAACCTAATCATCCTCCTCTGTGTTTATCTCATTCCAGTGTAACATCAGAGATCGATGAAGTGCATCAGAACATGGGCTACTGTCCCCAGTTTGATGCTATCAACGACCTGCTGACTGGCAGAGAGCATCTGGAGTTTTATGCCATCCTGAGAGGAGTGCCTGAGAAGGAAGTCTGCGAGGTCAGCAACAAACACACATACATACACAATGATTCATTATATGAGTTACACAGTCTGTGTTAAAAAATATGTTTGTATAAATGTTTGAAACTGAATAGCTCATCCCATCCACTAGGTGGCAGAGTGGGGCATCCGGAAGCTGGGCCTGGTGAAATATGTGGACAAGTCAGCAGGCAGCTACAGTGGAGGAAACATGAGGAAACTGTCGACTGCCATCGCTCTAATAGGAGGACCACCTGTCGTGTTTCTGGTGAGTGGGAAAATAAATCACAACCACTTAGTATTTTTCATAAAAATAAGACATTGTGTTGTGTTTTCATCACTGTGTTGTAGCAGCAGCTGAGAATCTGTTGTTTCCTTGTCACAGGATGAACCAACTACAGGCATGGACCCTAAGGCGCGTCGGGCCTTATGGAACACCATCCTGAGCATCATCAAAGAGGGACGATCTGTAGTCCTCACCTCTCATAGGTTAGACGAGTGATCTGAACAACATCCGTTACATCAACAATGCAAATGTGTATTTCAATACACCATGCAGTATTATCTTAAAAATGCATCCAAGAGATTATTCCTTTATTTTTTACCCATTAATTTATATATTATTATCCTAATCTTGGTGTGTTCTTGTTTACAGTATGGAGGAGTGTGAGGCCCTTTGCACCAGGATGGCCATCATGGTCAACGGCAGGTTCCGCTGTCTGGGCAGCGTACAGCACCTCAAGAACAGGTAGGGACACTCACCATAGCAATAATACGCACATACAGCCATTCATGATTGCAGTGAACAAGTTTTGGTCATTCGTATCATAGACTTGCCATACAAATACATCGCAAAGTAGAATGACACTCAGAGATACCTCCACCAAGGCTAACAGTCCCCATATGAAATCAGACTTGAATTTATTAGATCCAGACTTTTATCCTGATCTGCACCAAATTGCACAAACTCATGAATATCAGTCCCCTAAGAATTTTTTTCAACAAGATCCAAAAATTATTCTCGGAAAAATCAACAAAACATTTTAAAAACACACTCTATCTGCTCCCCATGTCTGAATCTGCTCCCAAAAAGAAGAAAGATATGTTTTCATGGTAATCCATCCATTTGTTTTCGTGTAATCCTGATTACTAAGAGACAAGCAAACAAACACAATTCTAGACGGAGGAAATTACATATCATGAGAAATTAGAGAAAGAGTTGTCATCATATTTTCGCTTCACTTTACTGTCTTATGTTTCTTTTATTCTTAATCCTTCTTTTCTTTTCCATCAGATTTGGCGATGGCTACACCATCATCCTGCGGGTGGCCGGGCCGGACCCAGATCTTCGGCCAGTGATGGAGTTCATAGAGCAGGAGCTCCCAGGCAGCACGCTGAAGGAGAAGCACCGCAACATGCTGCAGTACCAGCTGTCCTCATCCCTCACTTCCCTCGCCCGCATTTTCTCCCTGCTCTCCAAGAACAAGGAGGCGCTCAGCATAGAGGACTACTCAGTCTCTCAGACCACTCTAGACCAAGTAAGCACATATGCCCTAGGTTCTACTATAACTAGGTTTCATCTTTGATTCAAACAGAGAGTCATTGTCTTTTTCGTCTTCTTACTTTTCTATAGGTGTTTGTAAATTTTGCCAAGGACCAAAGCGACGAGGACCATTTGAAAGACATCCATCTGAGCAAGCGGGACGCTGTGGTAGTGGACTTTTCCCAGCTAAACTCCTTTCTCACGGACAACAAGACTCGGGAGAGCTGCGTCTGATTCAACAACATGCCGTCAGTGGGTTGTTGCTCTGCTTCAACCACCCTCCCCCCAATCCCACAAAATATGGACCACTAGCCTGAGGGGGAGATGAACTGCTTTCATTTTTATTTTTTATTTCTATTTTGTAGTCTTTTTTTAATTGTTATCATTTCTCAGTGGACCTGCATTTCAGCGCACAGCCTCTTCAAAAAGGCAGAGACCTGCAGGTATCGCGACAGACACTGAAACTATGAAAACTCAATGCAAATCAATGCAAGACGTATATAAATATATTTAAGATGAGGAGATATTCTTGTGAGGGCTGGAGACTGGTGCTTCTCCTTCACTAGGCAGACGGAGAGGAGAAAAATATAAAAGAACACTAAGAACACTTGAAGCAGCAGCAGCTTTATAATGCTGCATCAGACTGGAAAGCCTATAGTCCTGCTACTCAATGGACGATGCATCGGGGATGACAGGAGCAGACATCTCTATATTTTTTAAACCACGTTTCCAGAAGTAGTTAGCCGTAGTCAGTGGGACCGTGTATGTGAAATCACGGCAGCATAAAACAAACAGAAACAAGTTTGATCATTCACTGCCAACTGCTTAAAGACAGACCGACAGACTACTTTTTTTATTCAGGGTCAAAACTCTGACAATCTCAAGTTTTATAATGTGAGTGATGGTAAAAGAAGATACAATCCAGTTGATTTCAGTCAGAAACACACTATCATGCAAGATAATTTGTACTAATTTTAACATCTAACATCTAATTTAACTCTAAAATCGAGATCGACAACCAAGTTGTCTTTTTTCGTTTTTTTGTTCTTGGTGTCCCTGACATTGTCCAGCACAGTGCCTATACTGTATCATGGTCGGGAGAGAAATCCGAGCACTCCATTAAAAACAATGTACGTAAGGCTGCCGAGGAATGTAGAAGACAGATAGCAACATTCATCAGAAGCACAAAAAGGAGATTTGTTTTTGTGGAGATGACGAATGAAACTTGACTGTTTTTGGTTTTTTAAGTGTGTCTTTTATTGTCAAAATGAAAACAAACAAAAAAATCTTGTGTTTGCTCGATGTCCGTATGAGACGTGCAGTCATTTATACCGGCTTGTTGTTTTACTCGCCCTCTGCCCTCTTTAAAACTGATCTGCGGACCGATGAGAAGGGATACAGGAAAGATGAAGACCACTGTTAATGTTGGGACTGGATTGATGAAAGTTCGTTGGAAATATATATCGCATGCTTTCCTCCGGGCCGCACACCTTGACTGTCAGCACTTAAGTGTGTGTGTGCAAAAAAGCATGCCGTCAGATCAAGGACTGCAGAGGACTGCTTCAGTGTTGTGGGATTATATACATGTGGAGCTTCAACCCAAATTGTTGTAAAAAGAAACGTTCCTGCAAATAATTCTGCAGCCCCGCCCCTAAGCATGGAGGAGATGGTTTTACAGCTACTGTGCTTTTATGTGATCTAAAGGTGGAATCTGTTCCAGTCACATGTTGTTACACATGCCTGTGTACAAGCACGATGGGGGACTTTTAGACCTGAGCCAGCACCGATGTGGATATTATGTACAGTAGCAGTCGTTTGATGTCCAGTCAAAAAAAAATGTTACTAGTGGAGTGAACAAAACGTATCTGTGCCAAATGGAGCTGAATATGTACCTTTGATCAACCAGCATAATCTCAAGGAGGCAACTGTTTTGTGAAGTTTTTTTCATTTAAGGTCTTTACCATCAGCTTCACTGACTGAAATCCTCCTCTTTTCGTTTCCAGCAACTTCAAACAAAAAAGCTTGTATCTTGTGATAATACACATGCTCTCTCTCATTCAGCCTGCATTAGAGCAGTCTGTCTTCTAGTGGTGTTGCCAAATTCTGGTCTCTGTCCGTTCACTTTTATAAGCTGTCGGAAACTCAAATTTGAGACACGAGGTCCAGGAACATTTTTCGTATCCAGAGCAAGTGAATAAGTCAGACTACACTTAAACAGGGACCACGTCAGTTGTGCTAGCGATGCTTTACAGTCCAAAAAAACAATGCAGGGTATGAAATGATGATTATCATTACAGGTGCTCTGTGTCATATATAAATCTTGGAAGGGGTTTTCCATTATCTCTGGGGTGTAATAACTATTGTTAGGTTTAAACCTGCTACCAATCCTCACAGTCTGAGCCTCAACAGACCAAACCCCTCTGTCAAATGTGGGTACTTTATCGTTTACCCATAAGTTTCAAACACGCAGAGGTTCAGGATTTTGGATCTAATTAGACATTAGAAAACAGAAATTCAAATGGCAGCCACACCACTGCATTAAAGAATTAGTTTAAAACTTGAAGAAGAATAAAAACTTTCATGTGATCGAGGGAAACGAGCAGAGAGTGGTGAGATAAAGAGAGGAACGCAGAACAGTGCTACGGTGGTGATTTTTCTCTTGTGCTCAATATTATCATTTGTTTACATTTTTAAGTATTAAGGAACAGTTTGAGTCTGTTACCCATTGTGCATAGTTACTCTTTAATAAATAAATAAAAATTCATACATTTTGAACGACCACTCTTCATGTGATTATTGTATCTTTTACCTTTGTCCTCTAACTGTGAGATACAAAACGCTACCACGGGCCTTTCAAATGGAAGTTTGTAGCCACTGACTGAACAAAAGATATGTTAATGTGTGGGGGTTGTTAATGTGTGCTGATGACTGAGTTTCTAGATTGTGCATGTGATTGTGTGACTAGTTTCACCTGCTGCATTCCCACGAGTGCGCACAGACACACACAAACACACCCACACGGTTTTATTGCCAGTGAAAACACACTAAACACACAAAAGACACATTCAAAGGTTCCTGTCACTCTGGAGTTATTCATCCACCAACATGACTGGAAGAGCTGTTTTCCTGGGACTCCTGCTTATGTGTTTGGCTGCAGGTAACAAAACTAAATTTGAGTTTTCCTTCTTATTTGAAGGTTATAGATATGTATTTAAGTCTATAGACAAACTTTGAGTTCTCTCTGCTTAGACACCATAGAATTAATCTTCAGTCTATTAAAAACGCTGGGTACAGGCACAATCTTGTTTATTGTATAGTTTGCACTCATATGCTCTATTTGCATCTGTATTTGTTGTGTATTAACATTAATGGATCAGAAATATCAATATAACATTTCAATATAAGATTAAATGTTTATACATATGTACATATGTTGTCAGTGTTGGATGCAAATGATATTTGTCGATTTGAGGTTTGTCATTTATATACTGATCTGGACTCTATCATAGTTTTTTATTTCTAGATTTAAATATGAAGAGAATCATGTGCCTTTTTTCACAGATGCAGAGGAGATGTCAGGACTCATGAGAAAGGTGATGCACATATTTAAAATGCCGTCATACTGTTTGTGTGTGTGTGTGTGTGTCCGTGTGTGTGTCCATGTGTCCGTGTGTGTGTCCCTGTGTCCGTGTGTCAGTGTGTGTGTCCATGTGTCCGTGTGTGTGTGTCCCTGTGTCCGTGTGTCCTTGTGTGTGTCCGTGTGTGCGTCCAAGACAAATATTGTATTATAATTTTCTGGCAGCCTTTGTGTCCTGGCATGGAGGAAATTATGGCGTGCCCTCTGATCCTCGCTCCTGTGTGTGGCAGTGATGGAGAGACTTATGCCAACGAGTGTATTCTGTGTATCCAGGAACGGTGAGTACAACACACAGCTGCTCCTTTCTCATGACATTTCCACAACACCCATCTTAGCTTAATAGAGGGGCGGGGACACATCATGTTTTTGTTCGTGGGACATGAGTTAAGGTCACTAATCTTTATTCAAAAATAACAGCCACAACTCTGGTGATGAAATCATGTTTGCATTAGATTTTAGTTCATCTTTGTGGATTTTGTGTTTTCATTGCAAAGGGAAAAAGTACTAGAAAAACATACTACATATTTTTCAATCAAATCTATATGTTTACAAGAGCCTATGTTTTCGATGATTTCTTTAATCAAGTATAGCGCTTGCTGATCTTTGTCTCAAATAAAAAAATGTCTCTGTCTTTGTTTGGTGATTTTCCGTTTTAACCTAGTAACAGTGTTACTTTTACTTTTCTCCAGGAGTCAGTGCTACCAGCCCTGTGAAGCTACTGTTAGTTCACAGCTTTATGCTAAATGCTACGTGGCACAATGACAATACATCAGTGGGTTAGTTTAGCACAGTATCATGCTAATAGTTTAACTTAGACTTAAAACATTACTGTCTAATTTTAAATCATCTCTCAAAACTCACTTTTACCAACTTTACATTATTGATTTTAGCTCATCGACTATATATGTGATGTTATATATATATATATCCTTTTCTTTTACCATCACTGTTTTATGTACAATGTCACTTATTGTCTTCAATTTTAAAGTATGATTTTGTTTGTCTTTTTAAATGTATTTTAGTGTTTGCTGTTTTTACATTATTCAGCTTGTGGTCTCTGATGTTTTTTCTTGTTTTTCATTGGTCCATCTTTGTGAAGGACTTTGTATTGTGAAAGGTAATATATCAATAAAGTTAGGATTAATGATTAGCCCTAAACACAAGCACAACTGATGAGCATGTTATTAGTTTTGCAGGTATCTAATCATAAACCACAACATCAAACCCATTGGGATACATCATCTGGGAACCATGAATGATGTCTGTACAGTTTGTGTCAGTTAAGTAGATGTTGAGATTTCATTCAGGACTAAAGTGGTGAACATTGGACATTGAGTCATGTTGCCAAAACCTTAATGAATATTTTTTTTATATCCATCCTCCCCTTACCTGCCACTCAGACACATTGAGCTTGCATGAGTTTGGTTGTCTCTCTCTGGCTTTGTCTTCACTGAGCTGAGCGAATAAACAAAATGAATCCCAGACAAATCATGTTACAATTCTCTCTGCAGAGCAACCAAGATGGACATTTTGATCATCAAAGACGAGCCGTGCTGATCTGCACCGGAGGCGACGTCACCAGTGACTTATCAGGATCTGAACATGTGGCCATACCTGGATCCAAACTGTCCTAAATAATATTCACTGAGCAATAAAAATGTGATTCAGCAGTCTCTTCTTGTGATGTCTTTATTTTTCTCAATCAATACCTCGGTCAATTTAGCATTATTTTGAAGTCTGGATTATTTATATAGAAGTAAAACAGGTCTGTGATGGACTTACGATCTGTCCAGGTTGTGCCCCGCCTCTCGCCCTATGTCTCCAGTTCCCCTCTAAACAGAAAAGTGGTAAAGATAATGGATTAATGGACAGATGAAATCAAATAGAAGCTAGAATTACAACTAATTCATAATTCATAAACAAAGCTGATATCAGGTGAAAGGAAAGTAGGGAAATGTGATTTATTGGTTTCTGTAACACAATCTGAGACACATTCGTAAAGCGGACGCAAGAGGTGAATGGTCTACTGGTTATCTCTGGGTGAGCTAATTGTTTACACTCCTTATACTGAGTAACACAGTGGTCAATAGTGTGTGTGTGTGTGTGTGTGTGTGTGTGCTTCTGTGTCGTCCTCCTGTTTTCTTGCCACTTTATTTGCTCACACTTTTTCATTTTGTCTATCTCTCACACACACACACACCGAGAGAGAAAACGTAAGTCATAAAGTGTTGTATCCAGGGGTCAAATGTGAGAGTCACGTGACTGAAACCAGGAAATAGAGAAGAGACATTGCTCCACTGTCACTTCCTTAATCTTCGGTGCAGGCTTCAATCAATGGACTCATCCAGGATGGAAAGAAACCATGTGGAACATGAGTAAGTACTGACTGTATCAAAAATACCTTGTGATACTGCTCTGTAGTTTGGACCGTCAGCTGGTTATGTTAATGTTTGAGATAAACTACCTGAAGACAGAGGAAGAGCAAACCTGAGCCTGGAGACTTAGAGGGAAGGATTAGCAAACAGAGGATCGCACAGATAGACTTTAGGAACTGTATTAAATTTGCAGATTTCACAAACACACAGTCTTCTGCTCTGATGTTTGCTTTCGTTCAGTTATTATGTTTTCTGTAAGTTTAGATCCATTCCGGTCCATCTGGTCCAGTTTATTTAGACTCAGTTTCATTCTGTCCCTCAATCATTTCTGTTTTTGGTCTTTTCAGCTTCATTGTATTAGATCACATCATGTTCTTACTGTCACTGCTTCTCCAGGATCTCCTCAATTCAGGGCTGTCAAAGCGGAATCTCTGTGGATCTCTTCTTGCACCTGTCACTCATACCTGCAGTAAGTCGTCCGGCCATTGAATCTGCAACATGAATGTAAAAACAGACATTTAACACTTAATCAAAATGCACTTACTTCGCGTGGTTACCACAATGAAAGTGACTTCTCCCAGATACTAAACTTTTGTTGTGCTTCTTACGTACAACTGTGAGAGTTGGCATTTTCTTGTTTGTAATACATTGAGATGAACATCAAAGCGAGCTGAGAAATACTGAGAATCACTGAGAATCACGATTTTGACTCCTTGAAATATAAAAACAGAAAAACTCAATCACGTGCAGTGGTAAGTAAGAAGGTTCTGGGTTGAAACCTGACATCCGACCAGAGCCTTTTTGTTTTGAGTTTGCATGTTCTCCTCGTGCCTGCGTGGGTTTCCTCCTGGTTCCTCGACTTCCTGCCACAGTCCAAACACGTGCATCTCTTGATTAATGGGAGACTCTTAATTGCTTGTGGGTGTGAATATGAGAGTGAGGTTGTTTCTCTCTGCATTTTGGCCTGATGATACACTGGTGACCTATCCAGCATGTGAGCCACCTCTTGCACAATGTCAGATTGGCTCCCTAACACTAACCCCCCACTTAAATAGTTATAACAGAATTAGGGGGATGTAGCCCTGCAACCAAACACATGTCCTGTATAGGCAGGTACAGGAGAACTTCTTGATCAAGCTGTGTGACCCATGATGCACACAGTGTAGTATATTAGACAAGACGGCCCCTTGATTCAGCAGATCATCCCACCACCTCTGTAATATACAACACAAGTCAATGTCTTTGTTCCAGTAGATTTGTTTATGTGTGTTGATTTATTGTTTTACAGGTGTTGATTGTAGCCGTGCTCTCCTTCCTCCAGAAGAGAGCACACAGCCTGGCCATCGACCGCAGACTGCCCTTCCTGGGGCGACGTTTTGGCATCGTGGTGTAAGTCAGCAGCAACAACAATAAATCTCTGAAGAGGAAAAAGTGACCCTAAGTCTTTGACACCCACCTCAGTAACTCTGCATGTTTATGAAATGCCATCATTGTTGTCCCCCAGGCCTTTGGATACTGTCGGCAGCCTCAGTAACCGTTGGTCCTATGGGTTTGCTTTTGGTGCCGTGTCCAGCAGCGTCCTGCTCCTCTTCTCTGAACGTTACATCCCCTTCACCGTCCCACCCTGGGCTAGAGGTACTCCCTCTGCTATCCATATACACACATCTTTAGCATACATAAACAGTAAATGCATACATTAACTGATGTGATGTTGCTGACTGTTCTCCACAGCTATCATGTACCTGGTTGGAGCTTTAGAAGTGGGCCTGGTGTATTTTCCTTTCTTTGCCTGTCTGTCCACGCCTTTCAGAGCAGCTGGTGCTTTGCTGGGAATACTATACTCTCTGTCCTGGTGAGTATTGAGCCTTCTTATGTAGTAGGGACATACTAGCTACATGTATATCACATAATGTGGAGTCATTCTGCAGGATGGCACTCAGAGAGCCTCCGCCAGGGCCCAGACCGTCCCCTTGTGAAACCATATTTAAATTCAGTAGATCCAGACTTTAATTTGGATTTGCACCAATTTGCGCACATTCATAAATATCAGTCTCATAAATGTATGTAACTATTGTCATCAGGATCCATGAATAAATAGCTCGGAAAGTGATTAAAAAATGTCAAAAGAATGCCTATGCCTCTTGCGATATTAAACGATGGGGAAAAAATCGAAATGTTTCATGGAGAAGTATTTAACAACTTCTTTGGCAGAGGTAAATGTGGATGACTATATTTTACAATCCAAAAATAATACATCACATGACTTGTTTGTAGGATCATCGTCACAGTGTGGGACACATTCACCTGTCCTGATGGTAAGGTAGGTTAGTACTGAACCCATGCTTGCTTGTGGAAGCTCATTGTGCCGGCTGCAGAGTGTATCCTCATGAAAAAGTAAATGACTGGATGACTGTGTGATTTTAAAGATTTTAGGTCGATACCAGAAGCTAATCATCCAGTGGCCGTGCATCCTCTCCCTCATCTTCCTCTTGGGACGATTTATCTACATTCTGGTTAAAGGTGTTCGAATACGGCTGCAGTTGGAACAGGAGGTCAGTTTGCCTCATGCTCAAAATATCTGAAGGAATTCTTGTTGTAAATTTGTCTGGATGTTCCCTCTTTTGCTTTTTATATTTTGTCAATGTATGGTGTTCTGTGATTAAAGATAATTTTTTTCTTTTGGAATTTTCTGAACAACAAACTGTGTGAGCATGTTTGTGCTGAATCTGCTGCCAGGACCCTGAGGAGCTGATTGAGCAACACCAGCTGCAGCATGTGAAGGGACTGCTGAGGAAAACACCAGCACACAGGTCCAACACACACTCATACTTACCTGCATCGATGTTTTATTTGTTGCCGTTGCAAAACTGGAGATTTACACTATTGCCTGTTCTGACATTGTCTATTTCAAGTTTTTACCAGTTTACCAATAATTATGGAAATCTTAAGGTGAACAAAAACATTAAAGATGTATCGATGCCCTTTTGACAAGATATCAGGCAAACACATTTAACTGCATTATAATCTAGGAAGTGCATTATAATCTAGAAAAAAGCATTACATATAATAAGTAGATTTTGTTATGTTATGTTATCATCAGTATTTTCAGAAAGTGAATTTTAAATATGAAAATAAGATAAGATAAGATGAAAAAAACTGTCTTATCATATCTAATTTTATTTCTAGTATATTAAAGGTACAGTGTGTAAGATTTAGGAGAAAATAATCTATTGGCACAAAGTGAATATAAAATAACCCTAGTGATGTTTCACCAGTGTGTTTTATCAAAATTGTAGTAATTGTTGTTTTTTATACACTAGAAGGGGCCCTTTATATTTAAATACCTTATATTTACAAGGAGGGGTCCTCTCTACGGAGGCCGCCATGTTTTTTCATTAGTCCAGACAGAAAAACTAAACACCTTTTGAGTTTTTATGACAACTGAAGGCTTCTACAGGTTATTTTCCATGTTTGGAAGGGGAGGGTGAGGTGAGGGGTGTTCAGCAGCCACATGCAATTTCACCACTAGATATCACTAAATTCTACACACTGTACCTTTAATTTTGTGTGGTGAAGCAGCTCAGTGCATTCTGGCTTTAAATCCAGTCTGATCATGTGCTGCTGGTAAACTTCAGCATCCAGAATTTTAGAGTTACTGTAGTTACCTTACTGCATTCAATTTGAGTTCGAAATGTATTCTGTATAAAAGAAGCTACTCATGCAACAGCTCTCGTAATATTTGTCATTCCAGTATAACTGTATTCAGATGACACTTGAAAGCAGCTTGGATCTATGTACACCGGCCTACATATACACACCCACCGTGGTTTTGACTTTTTTGTGTTGCAGTCAACCACTCAGCTGGTTCCAGAGGCGGGTGTATGAGTGGGACCCGCACTTCAAGTTCCCCAACAGGATCATCGGCACTGCCATTATATCCCTCATAGGCCTATATACAGTAAAGGCATCTCTTATAATTCGGCAACATCAAATATCTCAACTGTGGGCTTGGTTCAGAAAATGATGCACAAGCAAATAATCTGTGCATGGGCTTTAGATACAGTTGTGTTGATTTGCTCTTTTGTCATTTCTCCAGATGACTCTTGCAGACTACAGTCTCAGTAATGAGGCTTTTGGCCAAGTAGAAAGGTGGAAGAATACATTGCAACATCTGGTTTCTTCTTGTAACCAGACTGAGGCTCTGGGAGCCATGATACCACAGCTGGAAGAATTCATTGTCGTGGCTCGGAGTGAGTGAGTTGGTCTGCACCCCCCACATAGTCTGGTGCTTTCTCGGTCTGTAGGATTAATGTGAGACTGTCCTGCTTCCTTTATTCCTAAATTTTTATTTTAAAATGTTATTAATCTTCCATCTGTTATATACTATGGTCATGACTTAATGAAACACATTATAACTTCTTTAACTTAAACTTCTTATTTTCAGAGTCTTGGCTAGCTACCACCATCTTTGCTAGTCTCAACTCTGTTGCGTACACTTTCCATGTATTGGCATGTTACAGGTTAGAGATCCATAAAAAAATCGAAAATATAATGTTCAACTAAAACATATTATTGCTCAATGTTAAAAATAAAAAAGTATAAGATTTAATGAGAATTTATCTGCATGTTTTACTGATGCTTTAGGAAACACTTAAAGAGACTGTGGAGAGGACAGAGGGGTTTTCTTCCTGAGAAGTTTCACAAACCCAGTTCTGCTGTCAGCGTAGTAAGACTCACACACACACACACACATACACACACACACACAAACACCACCCATTCTAAATATATAAAATGCATTGTTGTGCCTCTGAATGTCTCATCTCTTTTCTTATTTATTTTTCGTATATTATGACATATGTTTATTTCACAAACTCTATTGGGCAAAGTAATAAATGCAAATGCAATATTGTCATTGACTTTCACAGGCTTCCATTGCAAGATACTCTGGATGGCAAATAGCTTTTACACTATGGGGTGAGCTTTACATGATACAAGACATTATTTAATTCCATAAAATGTAGATATGAGTGATCCCTCTTTACAACAATCAGCTAATATAATAATTACAGCAAAAATAATTGCACATGTATGCTTCAACTGTATTTTTAAAATATGAAAAGTGTTCAAACACAATATGAAATAACTGTTCATGAGTATTAGGTTGTTTTTTTGTTTTTTTCTATTTTAGGCTATCTGATTGTCCATTTTATCCACTTCCAGTTGGCCCTGATCGTGGCCTATGTGCTGGTTATCCCTATACAGCATGGGAAAGTATTGATTATGCTCACCAACCTGGGAATCATTGTGTAAGTGCTTTCCCTGTGGTTGTGAATATATGATTGGATGGTTAGATGGAGAGAAAGACACTGTTACTGATAGATTTTTACTTTTCTCTTCTGTGTCTCTCAGGCTCACCATCGGCCTGGTAATCGGCCTGGTGATTCTCCAGGTTGCTCTGGTGCAGATCTTCTTCCTCCAGGACAAAATATCTCCGACAGATAAGGAGAAACCTCTGGCTCTTAACAACAGGTGGGTTTATAAGAGTGAGCCATAAAAACATCAGATGGATGCCACAATAAAACCCAGATCCTCTTTTAGCCTGCAAATACTTCCGAAAGAGGAAGAGTTGGTAATAAAGCACTCGATTAAAATGTGAATATTTAACTATTTGCTGTGTTATGTGGACTGGTTAAGGATATTACGTGATGAAGAAGTCCATACACTTCATTTCCTCAATATGTGTGAAAGAATAAAAAACCTTCATGTCTAAGGGCCCAGTCAAACATATCACAGGTCAAAGTTCAAAGTTTAATTCCGAGCAAAGCTATGCATCAATTTGGTATTGTAATGGTGAGTGTGTGTGTGTGTGACTGGGCCCTGATAAGTTCATCAGTTCAGATGACTTTCATTCACTCTGCAGTGGAGACAGACATCACAACAAGACACTACAATTGTGATGGTCAGTATTCAGAGATAAGGTTTTACCATAACATCAAGGAAAGTCTAAAACAAGAGATTGTGGAAAAGGCTGGTCAATACGTCTGTGTGACAACAAAWGGGGAATACTACTTCAAAATCCCTGGACAGGCTAATTTACAATACAATGTGCTCCAATCTGCCAGTGACCCATTTGCTCAATTCCTTCCACACCTCTGCCAAGG